CACTTTCACCATTCCATTTTGGTGACCCTGCTAGGAGACCAGCCTAGTGAGAAAATCCAGTCTCTTTGTAGCATTATTCTTAGCTTTCCTGACACTCCCAATCCTGCCGTCCCCCTGCCCCCCATTACAGTATGTATGTAAGAGAACAGACAGGCTCATAATCCATAGCAAGTATTCCCTCAGTCCAAACCAGTTAATCTCCAAATTGTTTATTTCAAGTTTATATGGTAGTCTAGGCCAAAGAGCTCTCACCTTGCATACCCACTCACCTATACCTGACTGCTGCTGCAGCCAGGATATGGCTCTTTGCTGCTTGTCAAGTTGCTACTGCAGTATAGCCAGATCCAGAGCACCCAGAAATGTGGTTTTCCTAGGGTATCTAATGAGATCACCATAAGTCATCACAAGTCATCCTATTGTAGTAGTAGCTTCTTTGCCAATTCCAGATAGGAGAGTTGGGAGGTGGTGGAAATGGGGAAGAGATTCTAACATTGTTATCCTAAGGATGTCATCAGCAATGCAGTAGTGTGTCTGAACTGACTTGGAATTTAGATCAGAATTAACTGATATATTTTTTAGTTGCTGTGGTGTAGTTTGTTGAGCACAACTGAACTGGGGCAGGGTGGGATTTGTCATCACTATTATTAACTAGGGAATATTCTACGGAATGCATTTTTGAATACATTGACTCATTATATGTCCCTGTATTACATCTAATGGTGACTGGGGCTGGAAAAATCCTCTTAATGTCAATTTTATATGGTTATTTCTTTACAGCATTCCTTTTCCCCAAAACAAATCTCTTACTCTTTTTGCTGATAAAACACAGTGGAAAAACAATTCAATTTTCAGAAAAGCACTTCTACAATAAAGTGCTGCATTGCATTGCATTGTATTGTATTGTATTACTTTAAAATATTTATCTTTCCCTTGCCTCTAAGGATGCAAATTCTTTGCACATTCTAGGGCATGCTGGAAGTGGGAGGCTTTTTTCCGTCTTAACTTGCGTAGGATCATGTCCTGAAACACTCTATAGCAACTATAGAAATAGACACAAATTCTATTACACAAATTCTTTCTTCTGTGTCGCAGTAACCATTACAAACTGCATTGATCAGCTTCTCTGTGAAACTGAGAGCAGCCATTTTTCCTCAAACAGGAAGGTGATTCTTTTTTCTTTTTCTTTTTTTTAAAGAAGATAGTATTGCAGTGAAACTATCATAAAATTTTTGTTTGTAATTTAAAAACTTGCAAGCCAAAGTATGACATATTTATCAATTGTTAAAAGGAGCTTCCTCTTCTGTGCTAGTCAGATTAATATGTGAATTTTTTAGATGACACCAACCTTTTGTCCCATGGACCAGACCTGTAAATAACTGGAGAGATTTGTCTTGACTCCCTTAATTATCTGAATAAAGGCATCTTTTACTTCAAAATGTAGAATCCATTCACTGGAATAATCTGCTTAGAGAGTCCTCAGGCTAATAATGCAGAATATAAGCTTAACAATACATTAAAATAAAATAAAAATACTTAAGTTTTGCATTAATTTATTTTATTAGACTTCAATTGATTGGTGAGCTAGCTTCGTGCATCAGTTGGAAGTAAAAAGGGTAAAAAACTTTTTTTTGTCATGACTACCTATGGTTGTATCTTTGCCAGCGTGTTTGAGATGTTTGTGTTAGATTTAGAGAAGCATGAACCTGCATTGTCCTGGACAGGGTGGATTTATTTAAATCAAATGGATTTAAAGCAGGATTTTAAAAAACGATTTAAATCACTAGTCATTAGTCCAGTTAAGGAATAATAAGAGAAACATCAGGCCAATCACAAAAAGATCCAAAGACTTGTGCAGTGTTCTGCTCAAAAGGTTTCACTTTCATTTTTACTGCTCGCCCTCCTTCCTCACACTTACCTTCTTGTGCAGACCTACTCCCAACAATTTTCTTCTATTTATTGAATTTTTGAAACTTAGCACTTAATAGGTAAGGGGTTGATTTTGTTACACAGATTTGCAAAGGAACAATGGGATTAAGGTCTTTTTCTCAACTCATGTTTAATTTTGCAGTGCAACAATGTTTTTGCTGTGAAGAAGAGGCATGTGATCTGTGCAGACACAAATTCACAGTTTTGAGAACCAAGCATCTGTGATATCATTTACCAAAAAATTTAAACATTGGAGTAATATAGAGCCCCGCACTACATCATTAAAACAAATCCTTATTTCATGATGAATAACCTTTGGACTATTATGTATCTTAAATAGAAAACTATCATCCCCTGTAAACGCATTTTATCTAAAAAAAATACAATTTAAATTTTAAACATCCAATTTAAATAAAAAATCCAATATGAAATTTTTTTTATTTTTTATCCACTCTCGCAAGTATTCATGATTTATGCGCAAAAGAACCTCCCCACCTCCCTCTGTATGGACATTAGAAAGCCCAAATACAGTTTTTCCTTGTATCCCATTCTGATTCTCTGTCCGTATATTCTCTAAAATAACCTTGCTGAAAGAGTTGTCGGAACAGGAACTCCTTTTCATATAGGAGAGGTCCTCTTTTTGCTTACAAATGACTTGTTGTTGTTGTTAGTCGCGAAGTCATGTCCGACCCATCGCAACCCCATGGACAACATTCCTCCAGGCCTTCCTGTCCTCCACCATCCCCCGGAGTCCACTCAAGCTCACGCCGACTGCTTCAGTGACTCCATCTAGCCACCTCATCCTCTGCTGTTCCCTTCTTCTTTTGCCATCTATTGTTCCCAGCATTAGACTCTTCTCCAGGGAGTCCTTCCTTCTCATTAGGTGGCCAAAGTATTTGAGTTTAATCTTCACTATCTGGCCTTCTAAAGAGCAAATGACTACTGGGTCTTTAATTAAGCTAAATACTCTGTCCAAATCTTGCAATTCACAATGGAAGCTATGTAATTTTCTTTGTAGTGAATAGAAGCATCTCATAAACAGTTTTTCTGTTTACGGTTTCTGCCATCTAATCTGGCTGCACAATGAGATTTGATTTTTTTTAAGGTTGGTTGTAGTTGCAAGATGATGCTTTTGGGAAATGTGAAGCTCATTAGAATAGAAAACTTCCTACCTCTTGCCAATCTGTGCAGTATCGCTTGGTGAAATAACCTTATTATTTATTTCCTTTGTTGTAGTTTTAGTTCATCTGTTCCCCTAAGAGCCCAAGGTGGCCCACATGATCCTCCCCCCCCCCTCCTCTCTCTTTCAACCTCACAACAACCCTATGCAGTAGGTTAGGCTGAGAGTCAGTGACTAGCCCAAAGTCACTCAGTGAGTTTCATGGCAAGAGGGAACTAGGATCTTGCTGTCTCAAGTTGCAGTTCAACACTCCATCCAAGCCGGAGCAGTTTTTGTGCTGGCTTATCCAGGTAACTCACTGTGTAATACTATGCATATTTAGACTGAAAAAAAGGCCTACAACTTGCACTCCCAGTGGTGGGAATTGCAGGACCTTTTTCCTGTGTAAACACACATAGAATTGCATCTTTTGGATGCCCAGTATTGTTTTATAAGCCCTGGCAAGTGTCGGAAGTGCAGGCACTCATCATGACAGCCCCCATAGCAGCTCCCCAAAAGAGAATGCAAAGATTCAGACAGCTGCTGCATTGATTCATATCAACAAACCACTTCTACCAGTTTTATCACCACCAGAAGCAGATCATTTGTAAATGCTAATGGGCCTTAATGGCCTGTTCAAGACTAAGCTACTTCAAAATACTTTGCATTACAAGAAGCAACACATTGTTTTTGGAAAAATTGATTTCCTCCAAGGCTGCTGTGAAGATTACAGCTAAGCAATTCTAAGAGGAGGTGGCAAGCATGTCAGTAACCTGCTAATTACAAAGTCCTGGTACTGCTGCTTGACTCCTCAGCACCTCAGTTCATAAAATCTGTGTGGCAATTTATTCGTAGCCCAAGCAGTTGAAAGCAAACACGCATGCACACTTTCAAGGCGATATCACTGTGCCAAGCCTTAAACTATTCTTCTTCATGCAGTAGCATGACACTCATAACTTGTTTACAGATCAGTTTATGAACAGTATTAGGTTTTTGAATATCTCTCATAACTACTTCTCATTATGTTAGAAATGTATTGCATGTAGCATTCATATGTGCCTGCGCACACAAGTACACTCTTGCATAGAGCAGTTCTCAGAAATCCATTTGCAAGTATCTGATAAGATACTTTGAGATAAAGCTAATATTAATTCCAAAACTGTAATAAATGTTGGGGATAATCATATAAGAGGAACAACAAGTCAGTAGAACAGTAGGACAATAATCGAATCAGCAGGAAAAAATAACCAGTAAGATGTTACAATAATTTGTCAGTAAAGTGATACTGCTTATAATTTAACTATTGCTTCTATAATAACAAAAGAGAAATTTTAAATTACTTGTGTGTCATAGTTTTATCCTGAACAAACTCCAGAGCCATATTTCCAGATATTGATTTTTCTGCTTTTCTCAAGAATATTTAATCTGATGTACTGATATCAAATATTTGAATGGGCAAATAATACATGTAAAAGTGTCCTGAAACCTACATGTGACCTGGCACTACTTTTTAAAAAGCAAAGTAGCTTTTGAAGCAAGGAATTTAAAGCCGAGAAGTGATTGGAGTTGAGAGGGAAAATCTTTTCACCTACAGGCTGATTTTTTTCTTTTTTCTTTTGCTCTAACACTCCAAGTTGTTTTGCCTATTTTTTTCTTACTTGCAGGATTCCAGCTGCTTGGTTGCCATCCTAGGCATGCACCTTGAGCACTGCATGCGTGTATAAGGGGAACTGGCAATGCAGCCAGAGTGGATTTGGGGCAAACTGCAAATTAAAGCTAGGATTGACCTGATCCAGCTGATGATACCTAGCAAAAGAGGTGCTTATCTATGTATTCTCCTCCTGGGGGTATTAGAGGCAGATAAGAGAATGTCAACCCAGCAATCAGGTTGCAAGCAAGGTTCATTCAAGTGTACCTCAACTTAATGTCCCTGATGAAATGATACACCTCATAGAGGAGTGGATACAGGCTCTGGAATTCAGTTTAGGTAGTTCTCTGCTCTTTCAGTCCCTCCAGTAGGTTCTCTGACAGAGACTATAGCTGGCGGGAGGGGGCGGAAGGCATTCTTTAGCATCGACATTCCTGGACCAGGTCCTATAACTGTATTAAAAACAAAAAATGAATCAAGGACATGTTTAAAGCTCCTACTAGAAAACAGAAGCCTTATTTAGATAGAATAATGCTTTAAAATGTTTTATTCACCATTTAACCATAACTTAGCTGCAGTAATATTCTATCTTTTCATGTGTCCAAATGGCAGGTGTCCATAATGAGAACCTGTATTTAGCTTGGCAATTTCCCCCCTGAATTCCTTTGCTATATATAGCACAGTGGTCATACATATCTTAACTACACTTGAAAGGAGGCAGTCCTGCTTAAACAGCTGCTGTTCTCCCAAAAGTAGAATGCTGAAGTATTTGAATAACACATGTAGCAAATCTTTGTTGGAGGGGGAAAAAACTTTGAGGACCAATTGTTAGATACAATAGATCTTGTCATACAGCTATGCAATATACTGATATATTTGGGACCATGAAGCCATTGTTCAGTTTAAAAAGTGACTTGCCTCTTCAGGAGTAGGAACTGCTGTAGGGCAAACTTCACAGAAGCTCTAACTGTGTACTTGGTTTACTTGCACAGAAATTATTTCTTTGGATCTTGGCCACAGTGTGAATAAATACAGCAGCGTTAAGCATGAAAATTGCATTTCAGTAATAACTGCAGGCCAGTCTTCAGCCTCTATCTCTTGAGTACAAGTGCCTTAAGTTTTTAAATACAACCTCCCATTTCTGTCCTGTTTCTTTCATGCATTCTTCTATTTCCTTCTTGCACATCTTTTCAAGCCGTTTCTTTGTTCTGTCTGATAGTTTTGCTAAGAGAAAGCATGCCTGTATATATGCAGCTGTTAGAAAATTTTGTCTTTCACATCAAACAATCAACACTGAGAAAAATATGCAAAAGCTTGCCTTTATCTTCACTGGAGCCACAATTCTACATGCACAGCACCACAGTAAAGATTGTTCAAGTTACGGTAGGAACAATATTGTCTCACCAGGTCTATAATTCATTTCCTGCCAAGGGTCTTAGTTTCAATAACCAAAATGCCATCATGGCAGAAGAGAGCAGTCAGATCTTTTGTTTCGATTCCATCTGGCAATTTGTATTGTCTAGTAAATCTTCTGGTTATAAAGCCATGTTCATCCATCCTGGGTCCATGCTGAGCTTTGATCAGGAGCCAGCCTTCAAAGGTTTGAATGATAACATCTTCAGGACGGAACTGCACAACATCTAATAAGACTTGAAATGTAGGCTTTTCTTCCTCTGTGCTGTTCTGCTCTGTTTCAGCTGTACTCTTGGCTGTATGCATGTTCCTTGCTGCTGCAGCCTTGGCTGGGCCTGGTAAGGCGTAGAGAGAGTGATTTAATTTGCATGCTTCCAAATCTAGATTTGCAAAATATTCCTGATAACGTACTGGTGTTTCCACCCAGTGTCGTATCACTACTCCTTCCATTGCTGAAATAATGTTCAAAACTTGCTCGTTTATTTTTTTCAGTGGCAAAAGAACAGAGCTCTGACTGGGACAATGCACCCTTTCCAGTTATACACCCACTTAAAAACTAATTTATCCGCTGAGGTAGCCTCTCATTTTTAGCTCTGACTGAGCTTATCACTTCCCTGGGTGTGACTCAGATCCCTGGGACGCTGCATCTTTTGACATTCTGACAATTGAGCACTATTTATAGGACTTGTGTCTGAGCCACTTCGGAGGACTTCATTTTCATTACTTGGTTGATACTCTTACTACGTTCTGCTATACTTTCTGTTTTTGTTGCTACCATGATTATGAATAACTCCATGTATTTTATACATTGTGGTAGATGCACAGTTCTTATAAAAGCAGAGACCTGGTTTGATTTTGCAGTCCTGTAATTAAAGACATATGATCATTCAGTTGTGAGGCGAACTCCTCCTGCTTGACTTAGTTTTGCCCACCCAAGACATCATTAAAACATCATACTCTATTGTGTTTAAATGATCCTTAAAAATCAAGTTTTAGTTATGGCAGGATAGCTAAAGGACAGGTGTAGAGAACCTTTTTCAGCCCAGTGGCCAAATTTTTGGAGAAGCTCTCAGGGCTGACATTCCATTGGCGGAAGGGAAGGGGATGAAGGGAAGGGGATGAGGCCAAAAATACTCCACACTCTCCAGTGTATTGTAGTTTAAAGTGCTTACTGCTAAAATCATAGCAGAGGCACTTCGCTTTTTAAAATGGGGAAAAACTGCACAAAACCTGGGAAACCACCAGATAATCAGTGGTTGAAGGAAAGGCATGGGGGCAGGGAACGAGGCATGGGAAGCTGGGTATCCCCAGGAAGACCAGATTGGGATCCCAGGCATGAAGTTCCTCACTCCTTTTACAGGAGTTAAGGGAATGCTTAAGGAGGTAATACTTTATTTACGGAAGGTGCTCATTGTAAGTAGGCAGGGCTGTTGACAAGGATAGGCAGGGTGGGGCACCTGCCAAGGATCCACTGGCAAGAACCCTCGGAGTGGTTGCTGTTCTTCTTGAATGCAACCAGCTTGTCCACCTACTCGGGCCAGACAAGCAAGCAAGTGGTAGCAATGATAAAGATTGAGGAAAAGAATCAAGGGCAGCTAGTGACAGTGCTGACAAGAATGTAAACTTACTGAGAGGGGGGCCCATTGATAGTGCCCTTGCCCAAGGGCTCTAAAGAACCTGCAGCTGATCATGTAAGTTGATAAGAACTTTTAGAAAGAACTCTTCTGATTTAACCTGTTGTTCATCCTAACAGTCACATATCTCAATGCTATGCATGTTTATTTACTCTGTTTGGTGGGCTTTGCCCCAGTAGGTGCAATTAGAATTACAGCCCCAGGCACCATAATAAACATAAATACTTTGGGTTTTGTGACAGGTTTATAATTATTTCTGTTGTTCTTGTGGATGTCATTATTTTTCCCTTTTAGGTCACTGTGCATGACACCAATGGGTTCTATGCCTAATATTTTTTGAAATATTTTAGAGTTAAGCAGTTTTGATAGAATTCCACCTCCTTCCTAATACACATGCTCAAAGACCTTGTTCCCACTCTAGTCCATTTATTTATTTATTTATTTATTTATTTATTTATTTATTCAGACAGACAGACAGACAGACAGACAGACATAGGTACATGTACCTATAGCTGCCAAGGCCTTCCTCTTTTCAACTGCCTCATCAATTCTACTCACCTATCCCTCTCCTAATGAGATTCCCAATATACCTTGTGACAAGGCAGAATGAATCCTAGTGAGTGGTGCTGGCCTGGTGACCCTGGTTTGTCCACTTGCCCACCTGGCTAGACACACTTAATCAACACTACTAGTCAGATCTACCACCCTCATAGCATGGCAAGACTTCTGTTGGGGGTACGAGAAATATGAGATGCAGCTTGCAGGTCAGCATGTGATCACTCCTACTAGGCTAAATGGTCTCAGTGTGCTGCTTATATAAAGCAAGACTTATATCTATCCAGTTATTCTCTGCAGTTTGTGCTAATTTTAAAGAGACTTTGCTCTCTACTTTGTTAAGGTGTACCTTGCCATTTGTTCTGCTTATTGTTTCAAGTTAATGGTTATTCCATGTTCTCTCATCCATTAGTTAAGCAATTTCTTCAGGGTAACTGCAACATCTATTACTCATTTCTGAACTGATTTCATTGCAAAGACCTTCTGTTGTATTATCTTAATTCATATCTAAACCATTTGGACTACTAGTTACATCCAGTATAAATCTCATCTTTATGCTGAAATTCTTGATTGCTTTCACATCTGCTGGTGAAATCTTTGTACCCTGGGTAGATCCAGCCTACATCACATGGCTCAGGAAGAACTTTTTGCTTTACACAGAAATTTCCTACTTATTGAATGTTGTTTTATCTTTTGAGTTAAACCAGGGCATCAGACTGCCAGTCTTTTTCTTCAGCTGTCAGTACCACTTAAAACATTCATTCATAGATGAAACATTTGTCCGTGCCTTGAGTGTACACAGGCTCCCTGCCTTGTACACTGAGAGAACAGCATCTTTTTCTAAGTCCCAGAGACTCTTTGTATACTATGCTGGTCTCTGCCTGCCTCATTTCATGCTAACTGGGTGACTTTTTCCATCTCATTTTGCTGTCAGTTCACCAAACTGCCAACACTATTGATGATCTGAAGTCAACTGACCAAAGGAAAAGCTTCCTCTATGGTCTTCCTTTGTGTCATTTGACATATTTCAGGCATGGCTGCAGGCTTCCACTTTTGTCCATCATTCTCATCTGGATGTCCAGGGAGAAGCAGATGCTACATATGGCCCTTTTATCATTTCTGTCATTTGCCTTTCTTCTTCCAGCAGGTGAGTTTGCTCTTCACCCATACACGTGATGAAAAGAGAGCACAAGGAAGAAAAACAGGTTGTTTATATGTACCGTGTTTTTTCAAGTAATCTTTCTAGTGACAATGCCTCTCCCCTTTTTTGCTTCAGGCACTTAGCTGGCATTTATCATCTTTTCCCCCTATTGCTATGCTGGTCACTGGGGACAGAGTGGGAAGAGCAAAGGCAACACCATTTCAGCTTGTGCCCTAGGAAGGGGCTAGGAAATTTTCAGCTTTAGAACATTCTGAATGAAGCTCTGTGCATGTACAGAATGCTGATGTGTGACTGCACTGGTTACCACTTGAAGGACTATAGTTAAAGGCAAGCAACCTGCTCTTTTTCCAGACCACGCAAGTAGAAATGTGACATGCCCTCTAGTGCGAAGAACAGCGTCAGCTAAACTTGGGCATTTTCTCCAGCTGTTAACATTTCCAGTTGAGATGGACACTTTGAAAGTGCAGGGCTGCATTGGAACTTAATATTTGAAAGGAAAAAGCAAATGACTTTTATGAGTACTTATAGGAAATGGCAGAAATAGCTTTACTTTTAGCAGATAGCAAGTTGTTTCAAATATTTCAATATTTTCACTGTCAATGGCAGTGTCATCTGATATATCCTAAAAAATTGCCCATTCTGGGGCTTGATGTCAGCTTGCTGTTTTGGTTTGTATTACTTATTTCTATTTGAATATGGAAGTGATGGCTCTGGTGAGCAAAACTAGCATACTGTCCCACTACTTAAAAATCTCTGAGAACAGATGTCTTCCTGGAAACTATTCCTATGTATACTAATACAGACAATGGAAACTGAGGTAGTGAATCCTGAAGCAAGCAAATGTTTCCAAATGCAAAAGTTGCTTTTGCTCTCTACATGAGAGCTATTTCTATGACCTGTTCACAGAAATTACTGTACATTTCAAAGTCTAATTATTAATATGACTAATGGTTCCAAAGGGTAATGTGAAACAGGTTACAATTTACAGACTGTAAGAATGTTTTATACTTATGTAGTATTTTAGAATGTGTATATAGCGTTTTAGAATACTTAACGTGCTCCATATACTTAGTTCAATAATTCTTGCACCAGCAGTGTAAGCCAGTATTATTTCTATATTCCAGGTGAAGAAGGGTGGGATACAATATTTGAATTGTTGAATATCTGAATAAGAGCAGAACAATCCAGTAAACAAAGTATTGCCTACTATAGAGAGCTGCAAGCCATGCCTAATTCTTCTCATGTGTACTCAGAACAAATGCTTAAGACTGTGCTTGTTCTCAGATGTAGCAACGCTATAAGTAAATGCAGTGTGTAAATTGCATGAGTATTCCAGCTGCTTCAGAACCTTTCAAGTGCTCTATGTTGCAAAGACTTTCAAGTGCTCTATGTTGTGCTTGAAACTCACAACTCGAAGCTTTCTTCTTTAACAAGTCTTGAAAAAAAGTATGCTGACTTCATCTACTTTGCTAATTAAGGGCAGGAACACATGCTACAATCCCCATAGAGATGTTGCTGAAAATATCCTCCCCATGGTGAATGATCTCCCCATTGGATGTAACATTTTGAATTATGTTACATTATGAGGTCTCTTTGCACTTGCCAGTGGCTGCCAAGACTGAAGTGTGGAAATGGAGACTTTCATAATGGCAGCAGTTCATATGGTAAATCACTCCATAGACAAAGTTTAAAATCTGTTTAAAACTGCTTTATATATTTTTATTTAAAACTATTTTAGGCTGCCCTTAAGAGTTAACTCTCTTCAGGCGAAATACAGGATAAAAACCCACACAAAACTATACGAAGAGGCATCCACACACACACTATAAAATCCATAAAAACAGATTACATCAATAACATCTGTAGTCCACAGACTAAGGAAAGGCCAGTGGTGTTTAGAGCCTTTCTGAAGCCTACAAAGAAATGACCTGGTTAATCCCTGATAAAAACTGATTCCAGAGATGTAGGAAAATTCTGGAAAGAAAAGTAACCTGCCCAAAAAATTGAATACAGGCCAGAGGTGGGAGCCAAGCTCCAAAACACAAGACTGTTTGGTTTTTTTTAAATCCATAGTTCTTCTGCTTCATCTGCCCTGCCTTTGCTGCAGAATTCCTCCACAGTACTATGGAATTGTGCATAGCAGAAGACCAAGAGGAGTTTGGGCTCTCAGGGGAGATGAATGCAGATCCATCCAAGTAAGGAA